AGAAGGTGAAATGACTTCAGTTGAATAGGAAATAGGAGCGATTGTTGATGCGGCTGGTGCTTGTGTTGGCAGCGGTCTTGATGAGGCAGAACACTCCATGCGATATCCCTGGGGGATAAAGGTGTTAAATCCATCGATGAGGTCAGGATGGCCATCGAAGAGTTCTCGGACGCGTCGTATGACAACATCGGTACCAATTCTAAAAATGCTGAAAACTATAAAATCTTACGTTTGTGCTTTGAACTCCCGCATAACATCCAAAAACTCGGTGTAGATGGCATGTTGATTTGAAAACCGAGCTTTAACGAGGTCCAGGTAAGACAAAGCATCCGCTACTTTCGGACGCAGCATTGTACTTGATTCGATCCTGGAAGAGGAAGAATAACGCATTGGACATTTTGAGCCATTTTTCGATTAACCTGCTTTGAAAAAGGGTGCATGCTGCCAGGAAGGAAACGCAAACGATCTTGGCACTTGACTCACCACTAATTTGGTGGCTGGATTGACAATTTAACATATTCGCTAATCCAGGAAAATATCAAATTAAAATAATGTGAGTTTGCAAGTCTGCCGGACGTTGGCAAACTTAAAAGCTTGGCCATAATCAGACCGAAAAATAGATGGCTTCGTCAAAAGTAACGAGAATAGTTTGTAGTTTCATAAGCCAAAAATTAAATCTATGTTGGTGATTTTTCTGGACTTTATTATGCACACGGAAGGCATGAGACTTCTCTGTGTTTAACACTGCAGGCGATTTGCCTGAGTTGAACCAAGACATGTTAGGTTAAAAAAATATTCCAACAGGATATGAGTAGTGTTATGGGTCTCCTGTTATCAGACGTTTACATAAAGATTAATTTAAACGGTTAATATTCCCAAGGACAAAATCTGGACGTGTCTGAGTTGTAAGAAACGAACGGACTAGATCAAGTTGGGCCTCCTGTCTAATAAAACGCATTAGTACTGATTAGAACAGACATTAATTTTATGTAACGGAAGGCGATACCACAGAATAAGTTGCTGGCTGATATTTTCGCAAAAATCAACGGAAGATAATGCGAAGATCCAACGAATGACTTAAGGAACTGACAACCTAATTCCCGCAATAAACACACATGCCCTGGGGTACCACAGATTGTTTTAAACGGAACTGGCAATTTTTTTCCCTATTGAACCGAATAAATGCAATGCCAGAAAGCTACGCGAAAACAGCCTGTCGGAGTTCAAATAATCTTTGGAGTAGTCTGGTTATCAATACAAGCACTAAGGCTGAATGAACACGTCTCCGCCGCGACTGTCAACAAGGAATAGGACTGAGCGACTGAAGTTGGACGTGCCATATTTTTGACAATAATATGGTGCAGTTGCACTTAAAATTCCTTGAGTGATCTGTGAAGCTGGGATGGGAGTGTGCAGTCAACCCTTTCAGGCATGTGATCGAACGAAATCGGAGACCCGGAAACTACGCACAAACAGAAAGGCGACGGCATGCAATCGAAGGCTGACGGTTGATATTAAATAGACGGAAGAATAATAAGTGGGAGTTTAGCTACGAAATAACATGAAACTTGGAATATGGCGACGTTGACATAATTGGGGAAGCCCTCAAACAAGACAGGATAAAGATCGCCAAGACTGCCAGCGTACAACTCACACCGTTTAAAACTCGAAAGCAAACTGTAATAATATCTCAGTCTGGTAGTAAATCCAATCTATGTAGGAAGGGACTCGTTGGATTACGTCCATAAATTAATATGTAAAAAGCACAGAAATGAGAAATATGCACGATAATTTCAAAAGACAAAATCGGAAAAAATGCCAAGTTTAACACAGCACCACAGTAATTTCAAGGAATAATAAACAAGTAGTCACTGTTTACCTTGGAACCGAATATAGCTGCATAGGCCGGACATTAAACTCGCAGGCTGATTTCCGGATTCCCTAAATTAAGCGCATTATAACAAATTTATCGTGAACTATCGGAAAATTGAAAGGATTAAAGTGTACGCGCCTGTTAAAGATAAATTATAGCAACTGCCTTATAGTAAAAATATTTTACTTACCTACTTTAGGCGCTTATTTTCTTTAAGGGAGAAGACGAAATATTGTTGTTCATCATGTTGCGTACTTGATTCCAACACTGCAATTGCGAGACATGGGTTTTACCTTGAAATAGGCGTCGTGCCGTCAGCAAGGACTAAATAAACCTAGTACAGTGGACGACTTTGCCGGAGTGTTCAGCTTGATCGTCTTTATTTCTACAGATTTATGTTCTCTGATTGAAACCACAGCCTTCTGGTAGTGCAAGCTTATGTCAACCATATTTCATGGGTTCCATAGACCTGTAGGTTTAAATAACGTTTTACTATTCATTTATTAATTTTATTTAACATCTGAATTGGTATGAACTCGTGTATGGGTACTCAAAAAACCTGCGTCGACAGAGACATAGCCTAATGCAAGTGGCCCTTATTCCCTTATTTTTAATTCAACATTTTCATCAATTTGCATGTTATTTGAGTGCAGATCACAATGCGGAAGTAGCCGTACATATATACTACTTTCCTTACTTATTTTCGGGGGATGAGTGTGAAGTTGACTGAACCATCTGTCAAAATCCCAGATATTGGCCCTATCCGCTCCATTCTATACCACGTTGCCAAAACCTGGGATTACAACAAGAGGTTCAGACCACAGTTATCCGGAAACATCTAAGAAACGACGGATTTCCTGTACAATTATTTCGTACGGGAATTTAAACAAGGAACGTAACCACACTATCTTTGCTGAAACATAAATTGTATCTATCAAGATCCTGAAATTGAGGTACGAAAGACCCCTCACTCTCGTCCAAGTCTTTTCGGTCCTGCACTTAAGTCAAGTATTTATACTACCATATGTTTTATACCTACCTTCCTCACAGCCAAAAATATTTAATTTTCAGTCATACGGATACTGGTAAGTCATTTTATTGACTAGCAATCGGTCGGAATTGAAAACATACAGAACTTTCTTATTAAGCAAATAGATGACTGCTATCCGCTACTGAACAGAGTATTTCCACAATAACTCTGCAATGGCACCTTTCCTGATTTTTGGGAACTTCCATTATCATCCCTGTCTCAAGTTTCTTGCATCATCTGACTCTATCCAGTAGTAACGCATATATCAATGTAGGACAGTACGTTTGAAAAAAATAATAAACAAAAAACCATGAATATATGCAATCAAAAACAATGGATTTGGCCAAATATCGCCTGGCCCTAGACAGAGGAACGACACATATTTAATACCGCCACGCATGTGCAGGGTGAATTCAGACTTCGAAGAAGGTGTGGGGTAAGAGAGGGGACGACCGTTGCCTTTATGTGACTTAAGAGCCAGTTTAAATGGCGTCCGATTGGTGTGAAACATTGCCCGGAAGGAAATGTTGCTCAGGAGAAGCAAGCCATTGTCCAATGAGCCGTCGAGACCATGCAGACTCAGCACTTCTGTCTAGGCAGCATGGTCCGTGCCCACGCACGCCTTGAAGTCATCAAAGATAATCACCTTTCCGCCTTCGGCACAGTCGCCGGGAGGACATACAAATTCTCTTAGAACCATTTCTTGGTCTCGTAAAGCTGGTCATTGAGGGGGCGTAGGCACTGATGATGCTGACAAATTTGTCACCCCGAAGAGGCAGACGGGGCCCCT